CCGTGGGATTTGAACCCTAGACCTGCTACTTGGAGAGGGTGACAACTTGACCACTTCACTAAGCCGCCACACCCCTAATATAAATTTTATATATAATAAATATTTATTAAATATAATTTTTAATAGCTAATTGTAATTAAATACAAATCAATACTAGTATATTTTTTTTTTCTTTGATAACCTTGCACTAATTTATTAGAATTTTAGTAATTTACAAAATTAACTATCTAATTTATAAATTAGGCAAATACCTAGCTACTATAAAATTGCCCAAGTATAGTTATTGCACTGAAGTTGCCAACAAGCTCCACATATGGTGATACCCATACATTCAAACTGATTACATTTTACCTTCCTTCTAGACTTATTCCACTAATGTTTGGGCAAAATATATTTTCTCCTACTTCTGCATAGCAAAAACATATATGCCAATTTACAAAGAAAGACTTCTTTTAAGAGCCGATCCTTCTTTTTAAACTTATCTCACCTAAAATTTTGGTAATATCTTCTCAAACTTAATCTACTTAAATCTTAGCAGATTATATTACCTCCTACTCCTATATAAAACTAATATATATGCCAAAATTATAAAGGAAAAAAATTTAAAAAAAATCTCTAAAAGCTTCCTCATAACTGAAAAAAATAGAAATTGTTCTAAAAAAAAAAACAGAACTTAAAAGAAAAAATAAAACAACAAGAAAAAAGAAAAGGAGAACCTAAACCAATTCTAATATAAATTAAAATAGATAAAACAAGCAGAAAAAAAAATTAAACACTATTATAACCTGTGCCAGATGATTTAAAAATTATATACTAGATGCAATATCTGTATATCTCTGTTGTAAGACTAACTTAACCTTAGAAATCTCTCTGACCTATTTCCAAAATTTTTTTTAATAACCTAGTCCATATCTCAAGCCGAGTGCTGCTGCTGTACTAGGATCTGACTCTCCATATACAGCACCAACAACGACAAGATCATGATATTTTTGTAAAAGTGCTATCACTCGAGTACTTGTGTTTTAAGCCACTTATTGCTGCTACCAGAGATTCCTTTTTTGACTGAAACTTGTTTTAGGGCCCATGCAATGTATTTGTCTCCAAACACATAATTGCTATCTACCAGTCTATTCAGATTTGGTAAGTAAACAATGCTGATCTTTTGGAGAAGGTAAGCCAAATCCACACTTTTTATGAAAATTTGAAGACCAATAGACAAATGACGAAAGATAAAGAGAGACTACTTGAGCTTCTGACCACTTTGAAGGAGTGTGAGTTTTTTTTTCTGCAGTCAAGACCTACTGCCCAACACCTGCTTAACATTTTTTGGTAAGTGATAAACTCTGGGCTTGTTGGCAGGTAGTATATAAGAACTTAGTGTTGGGTTGGACATTGGACATGTCCAATATCCAGTCCATGTCCAGTCCAGTCCAATCTATTGGTTGGACATTGAATATTGTGTAATATTAGATTAGTATATAGTCATGTGATAATTAACCAATCAAATAATATTTTTTATATTATAATATTTATAATTAATATATGCTAATAGATATAAAGTTTAAGTGTATATGGATATTAGCTTCTGATGATGATTTGGATAAAGACACTTTATTAGGTTCCAAATTAACTGATAATATTAATGATTTATTGGTTAACCGAGAAGATATAGTAAAAGATCAGTAGCCATTAAGTAATTTGTTTCTAGATAATATAGAAGCATCATTTTTTGTAACTAATATTTAGTTTCTTCAGTATCGAATATAATATTTTTTAAAAATAAATATAAGACAAAGGTTTTTTTAAAATAAATAAATAAATAAATAACACATATAGAAGATATTAATTATTCAAAGTTTTTATTATCTATACAATATATACAAAGAGTTATAGTTTAGCTTCTCAAAATCAATTTTACTAAAATACTATTTTCTTTAATTCACAATATTGACATCTCATTTTACTAACAAGATATAATTCTGAAGTCTTATTTTATCGAAATATCTTTTAATCGATAATAGATTTTGCTAATATCTACAATTTCCATTTCACTGAATATTAAAAAGGTGAATGTCTATTTTTCTATTTTATTAATATGCTATTTTTCTGAATAGTACATTTTTCTGGCATTCTATTTCTTTGAAATATACTATGAAAACTCTTTTACCGAAGGATGGTTTACTGAATTTACAGCTATTTTATTTCTTGCCTTCCTGTAATATCATTTATCCAACTCCATAATTTCAATCTCCCTTTTTCTGACAAGATATATTTCTGACAATATATTTTACTGATAGAAATTTTTTACCAAATTTTTTTTTTATCAACACATCCAATTCCCCAACAACCAGAATTTCTGAAAAATTTAATTAAACAACCTTTTTCACCAACAAAACCCTTTTTTCTAAATCCTGTTTCCCAGACAAAAATTTTTTTTAAGTTATCATTGACAAATATTTTGATATATTTCCCCAAAGATATTCTTTAAAAAAAATTTCCCACCAAGATGTCTTTGTGAAATGGTTGTCAGCAAATTACTTTATACTAAAAATAGATGTAAATTAAGTAAAACTTCCTTCGGTTAAAGAGCTTTTAGTAATATATTTTCAAAGAAATAGAATGTCAGAAAAAGGTAACATTCAGAAATGGCATTTCAGTAAAATAGTTAATATTCAGTGAAATAGAAATTGCAGATAAATGACTTATCAATAAAATTTATTATCATTTTGGTAAAATGAAATTTTCGGAATTATGTCTTGTTAGTAAAATGAGATGTCGGTATTATGACTTTAGTAAAATAGTATTTTGATTTCGGGAAGTTAACCAAAAACATTCCATGAGTACTATGGCTTTTTGAAAAGGTTATTTCAACTGGTCTATAATAATCCTAGTGTTGTCTAGAATGAATAAACTAGTTTATTTATAATAGTATATATGTAATTTCAGATACTAATCTCTGAATAAATTATGAATGTCAATGAAAATAAGGTTTTATTCTTCGTCAGAAGAATTCGAGGTTTTGACTTTCTTCAAAGGTTTCGCTTTTGGGAATTTAGACTTCATTTTTCATCATCATGCAAAAACGGGTTTGTCTAATAACTATAAGTAAAAGCATGCTTTGTAATTTGTAGTAAAGCTAAACTTTATAAAATATATAACTTTTAATAGAAAAAAATAGTATAGAAGTATAATTAGAACTTGGAAATAAATTAGTTATTATCTGCCAAGTTTCTCGCTTAAGAGAAATAATAGTTTGTTATTCTTCTAAAAAATTTTTTTCAGCTCTTATTGGAGTCAGAAAAAAAAATTTTAGGAGAATAACAAACCATTATTTCTCTTGAGCGAGAAACTTGGCAGATAATAACTAATTTATTCCAAGTTCTAATTATTCTTCGTGGGCTTATTTTCTAATTTTAGATTTAAAATCTTTATAATTATATATTTTTTTGTATTTGAGTTGCTAGCTAAAAAAAAAATAAAAAGCAAAAAAAAATAAATAAAGTCTTGCGACTCTAGTAAAGTTAACTTTATAACTGTAATATAAAAAATAAAAATTTTTTTTTATTGAACTTATTGGACATAGACATATGTCCAAGTATATGTCCAATGTCTAGTCCAGTCCAATAGTGCTAAAATTAGTTGGATATATGTCCAATGCCAACACTGTGAGAACTACCTCTAAACAACAAGTGCTAAGACTTTGCAGTGAGTAATAAACTCTAAGCCTGTCAGCAAGTAGTGTATAAGAACTACTTCTAAATAACAGGTGCTGTCTTACTGTCTAGTATGTCAAGTGCTAGCTTGTAAGGTCTCTTCTTATAGTAAATATTTTTCGGAAAATGTAGTTCAAGTAATCATCAGAAAGAGTCCTTAGATTTACGATTAATACTAGTATATATGTTATACGTCGCTTTGGAATTTATGTTACTTCCGAATTGGCATAAGTTATTTTGGAATCAGAATTTGACATATGTTATATAATAATCGGTATGTTGTTAATGATTATGATACCGATTAAAAAATATAAAAAAAATGTAAAAAAAATAAAAAAATAAAAATGTAAAAAAATAAGCAGCATAACGAACAATAAATTTTATTTTGAAATTTATTCCAGCACTATATGTTTACTGGTGAAATTGAGCAAATTCAAGTTACAATAATTGAATTTTATCTATGGTGGCAATGTATAATTTTTGTGAAAAATAAACCGCCAAGAATTCTAATGCTAAGTAGTATAGTTTATATTAATGTTAATGATTGTTGCATTCACCTCACAACACACAGCCGCATCGAATAGAACAAAGTGCATTATTTTTATGGCATGAACAACTCTTGGTCTTACAATTTGTTTTGCTGCAGTGGCAGCTGTTGTGTTGAGATGTCTTGTTTCTTACTTGCTCAGTTGCTTCTTGAATTATTGAATTATTTTTAGCTTTATGTCTTTGCTGATTTTTAGCTTTATATAATGGTTGTGTCAAACTTTGCTGTGCCCCAGTATTTCTCAAAGAAATAAAAGTACCAAAAGGAATAATATCAAGTGCGGGATATTCACTAGTACCTAATAGTTCTAATTCATTGGCCAGATACCATTTATCTAAAATTCCAAATTTACACCCAACCTGATAAGAATCAAGATTAGGCTTTTTTTGTATAATCTCCATTTGTCAATATCAGGTATTCGAATCTTCACAAAATCACCTGGATTTAAAGTTTTGTTTTATGACGCTTTTCCATTACATTGCAAATAAATCGTCGATTTTTTTTAACATGTTGGATTGCTGCATCTCTTAAAGGTTTGTGGTTATCAAAACTTGCTCGAGTTGAAATTTTGCTTGAATAACTTTCTTGAGATATAATAGACATTTTTTCATATAACGAATCTGCATAGTTTGCTTGAGACATACTTTCTAGCATTGTATAATCATAATCATCATAATCATCAGAAATATAATCATCAGAATTATTGCAACTATTATTATAGTCATTATTATAATTATTGTAACCATTGTAATTATTGTAACTATTGTAGTTATTGTAATCATTGTAATTATTATTATCATCATAATGATCATAGTCATTCTCTGGGTCAAAAATAAATCGATATAGTGAATCCTAATAAAATAATTATTATAATTATAAAATTATTTATATTAATATATATAAATAATAGTTTCTATGACAGCTAGTGTAGAACCCTAGCATAGCACTAACGCTTCGGGCGGACTACTTAAATAGGCAATCAAAAGTTGTACGTGTGACTAGTTGTACTCTCGTGATACTGATAAAATATGTAAAGCCAGTGCTAAAATTAACATTGGCCTACCACTTGTACTAATAAAGTGCCAAGGGCCTAAGTGGTCACCTTAATATTTAAAAAAAATAAATAAATAAATAAATAATAGTTTCTATATTAATAAAATAAAATTATATTACCTGTTCTAAGTTTATACTAGAATCCGATGCATGCCATTTTTCTTTTGTTTTCCACAAATATCTTTGTAATTCACTATCAGATTCTAAATTTTCTTTGTCACTATCACTATCAATTATAATTACTTCAGTGCTTTTAATTAACAAATTCTAATCTAAAAATAATATAAATAATAAATATTAATACATTAAATTTAATATAAATTAAAAATTATTTATTATTATTATATATTACCATTATTATAGTCCATATTATCGGTGAGATTAAATAAATTTGATTGATTATTTAAAGGCATATTATTAATTGAGGTTGATTGATTTAAAGATATATGATTAATTGAAGTCAAATTTGATTGATTATTTAAAATCAAAGTTGGTTGATTTAAAGATATATGATTAACTGAATTTAATTGAAGTGTATGATTAATTGAAGTTGATTGATTTTCTAAGGGAATATCATCTTCATATATAATGTTTTGCTGATAAAGCAACGAAATCATTGGTAATTCAGATTGTGGATCTTGCCCAAACACAAGTTAATATGGTGTTGACTTTGTTGATTTACATTCTTGGCAGTTTATCGCCCCTAAATTGGATAAAGTTCAACTACTTAACATTAAATAATACAATAAATTATACTTTAATTTTTATTTACTTACAAATAACAAATGGTAGCTCAACACTCCAATCTTTTCAGTTAGTCTCTTCCATCCATGCACCAAGCTTTGTCTGAAAAATATCATTACCTTTTTCAATAGAACCCTGACATTGGGAATACCTTGAACGTCCATGAATAAACTTAATAGTTGGCCAAAGTTTAATTGTTTCTTTTACTATTTCACCAACAAATTCACCTCCATTATCTGAATATAAGATTGCTGGTGGTTCATATATCAAACAAAATCATAAAAGAAAACTTGCAGCTTCTTCTGCAGATCTTGTTCTAGTAGGTTCAGCAGCAGAAAATCATGTAAAGTGGTCTCTAATATGGATAATATAATTAAATTCTCCATCTGGAGTTGCAGTTATACTTATCATATCCATCTTTAAAATATACAGTATTTGTAATTAATACTTTAAACAAATTATATATATAATTATATAAATTCTTACTTAAACATGTGCAAGAAATTTCTCTGCAATTATAGGTCTTATTGCAGGTACTCGTTTATTTGCATGTCATGTAATGCATATGTTGCATTGTTTTACTGTATTTTCAACAATTGTTTGAGAAATAAAACAATATCTTTGCTAAA